TCAGCAATCCGTCCATACTATATGTAGTTAAATTTAAATTTTAACATTCAAATATTTTTGATTCCCTTTAATACTAATTATCTTTTCAAGATTGGAATTAGAATCTATTTAAAACATAGAAAACATAGGATCTGATGTTGATAGGATTTTGCTTATATGCTTGAGGCATAGCGAAGCTCGGAATTGAAAGTATTTCGAAAATATCTGAAAAACAATATTTACAAATTTTATTTGCTGCAAATCATAATATATATTGTAGCTATATGATAACGTGGTTCGATACGGATATTACGCATTCAAGATTGGTTTTTTTAGACTTCATTTCTACGTACTTTTTGACGAACTTTTGTTCTAAAAATTCAGAAAATGTAGAAAAAATATAAAAACAATGTATTGTTATAATCCATTTAAGTTAAAATGACCGAAATTCGTTTTTCCACTCATAATTTTGTTTTTCATATAATTATAATTATGTCTTACATATTTATCTGTACATATTTATCTACATATATGAATGACTGATTGATTGATTGGCACAGCCGAAACCGTAATAGCTGGCAAGCTGAAATTTTCACTGTAGTTACCTTAGGTTATGACTTTTTGTTCATAGTTTGGCCTCTAGATCAATTTGGCCTCTTAATCTGGAAATAATATTCTTGGACAAAATACATGAACGAAAAGTACCCTAAAAAATCCTATATAGACATAGGTCAAAATTTCCCACCTCCATAATTCGGAAAAATCTCATCCGATTTTCACGACGTTTGAGTCTTTGTTCATGGCTTGGCCACTAGATCAATTAGGCATCTAAATCTGGCATTATTCTTCTTTTATTATGAATTTGGAAATGTATGGTCGGCACTTTGTTAAAATGTTTATTGGGTGATTGCGTTTATGTAAAAGTTGCATTAAACGAGGGCGTACTGTATATGGTAGAGTAGTCCGATGCGATATGGGTCTGTTACAAGAAGCATAGTGAAGTTAATAAATATATGTGCTAATAAAACATGGTAGGTTTGGTCATCTTTTCGTTAGACTATGTGATGTAAGTTGAAGGACGGGCTATTAAAAAAATGAGCCCAAACAAAGCCTTATAATGCCCGCTAATCCGTTATACAACTAAATAAGAATTTATAGAATTTATATATAGCTTAGTCTACTGATTTGTAAAGAATTTTTTGACTGGATCACCTGTCCCACATCAAACCCTTGACAATTGCAATTAAAACTTAGAAACATCAATTTGAGTACCAAAATAAATGAACCCACACCTTGATGCTCCGCGGTCGGCCCACAAATCATTGCCATCATTAATTTGCATGCATAACAAAAGGCGTGCAAAGTCACAGCCTGTCTAAAAGGGACCGACAGCTAGCGGCCACAAAGAAGGGAAAGGGGGTTAATGAACTACCCCAAAAAGTGCTTGGTTAATTGCTGTGTCGGAAAAAAGTTTCAAGAATATTTAAGGAAAAATTGCCTATTTTTGGCGAATGTTGTTTTTCAATTTCCAAAAATAAACACGTTATCACGAAGCTTAGCGCTCAGCTCAAGAAATATTTTGAGCCACATGTGGCAACAGCCAACCCAGAATAATAGTCAATAATTTGGTGGGCCTTCAAATGCCTGCGGCCAAGCGGCAAACAATTTCAAATTTATGCTTTAACTTCTCGGCAGGCTCGTTAGAAGCGAGCTGCGAGTAGAGAGCGTACCCCATTTGCATTTATAAATTGTTACCAAAGCAGCTGAAATATTTGACAAGCCAAGGGGCGCGTTTCTTGATGAAACGCCTGCCCCTAGCCACCACGCCTGGCCCGGCTGGGTGGCGGCATTGTCTGCGCTTAATTATGGGCACAAATAAATGTCTTTCATTTGGGTTATGTGGTCCAGTAGAGCGCTCCAGCTGTTGCAGACTTTTAATGAGCTATTGACATTGCTGTGGAGAAGATGCAGACAAGGGGCGAAGATAGCAGCAAGTCAATAAATAACATCGAAAAGCCGTTATAAAGAACTCTCAACGTGCTGCAGCAATGCAAGAAAGATACAGTTTAATCAATTCTGAGGGCTTTTCTGAGTGGCTTGTGTCCCTGGTAACCCCGATTTTCTCACTTTGCCGCATGCCTCGTCTCTAAACCTTACACTCTGAGCTTCACACCACTCCACTGGGGCACATTTAACGCCCCAATAATTAAACTCAATTAATGACCAAATGACCAGTCAACTGCACATCAAAGTTGTTGCATTGCAACGGCAATCAAAGCGACAGCCGATAAAACCCAAACTCCGAGCCAGTCGTTGACTCTGTCAGTCGCTAACAGCTTCATTTGTCTTTGTTAAGTCGTTGCGACAAACTCGTTTTGGAAATCCACTGCACCCACACCCTTAACAGGGCAGTATACCCGCCGAGTCAAAGCAAATAAAACCACATGCTGTGCGGTGCTTATCTTGACAGCAAACATTTACAAAAATACGAAGCCAGGGCCGAGCAGAAACACGTCTTTATCGCAACCAAACACAACAATTTCCAATTTTCCCATTGGCTTGCTCATCGTGGCTCCAAGCGCCCCTTGCCCTTGAGGCGCATCTTTCTTTTTAAATACTCCAGAGGTAGATTAATCATTGGCTTGCACGACTTTTGCCCCATCTAATAAGCCACCTGCTCTGGCCGTTTCTGAGGAGCAACTTCTCCCAAATCCAATTATAATTGCGCTTATCAAAAATAAGTTTTCGATACTTGCTCCCTTTCTGGAGTTTGGCAACCGTTGGAGTCCTTGTTGTCTCCACTTTGACACCGTCGCTGCCAATTTCGCCAATATGGCAATTTAATCCACACAATCGGTTTAAGGCATCACCATTTATCTTTTTGGGGGAGCCTTTTCTGTGTAGATGTACCTGGGTATATTCCTGCTGTGGTTTAAGCTTTTGTGCTGGGGTTTTTCCTTTCCATCCCTGTCAATTAACTCAAGTTTAATTGAAGGTGAAATTGTGTAAAAGAAAAGTTGATGTGGTCATGAAAAAGAGACGATATTTTCGAGTATATTTATATGCAGCAGTATTAGATCGTATATTAAGCAAAGTAAAATGGATGTGAAAATTAGTTGAAAATAAACTGTGGCAAATATGATATCAAATCCCTTAGAGCTTGTCACATTCCACTAATCGAGTTGCAGCTTGTTGCATTTAAATTAAAAATTCCCATCATCCAGCTACGGCTCGTGTAGGCCATACCCGAAGCTTAGCATAATTGGCACTTTCCTCATCTAGCCAAATACCGTCTTCACTATCGTCCCCGAAACAGTTCAATGACAAGCCTTGATTTAATTATACTTAAAATGTACATCCGGACTTTCACGCGGCAAACCACCCACCCCGAAATTGTGAAATAAATGGGAGGACTTCACTTTTCATTTCATTTTAGGCAAATAATAAATTTTCTCTTAAAATTCATTTCATTAAACAATTTCCATGAGCTGCGACATGGACACAAAAGCTGAGGGCCAGCTACGGAAATCTTTTGTTTATGCGCCTGTGCTCCGGCCCTCCTTTCCTCCGTTCCTCCGGTTCTCGTGCCCGTACTCCACCAAATTAAGCAGGCTGACAATTTTCTCTCTAAACTGTATAACAACTTAATGAGCCTGCATAACTCTGCGACAACACTGAGCGTAAAAGACTGTCTCGCATTTTTGGGGCGCGGGACTGATAACAAAAACAAAAAAAAAAGCTCGTAAACTTGGCCCGAAGGCATCGCAGCTCGACAACGATGACTACGACGATGCGTCGCAACGGTAAAAGTCATTATTCAGTGTACTAGAAACTGACTGCAGGCCCCGCCGTTTCAGCCCTACACTGCGTGCAAAAAATAATCAACTTTTCCAGGACTGTGACACGTTGTTACAGCCTGGTGGCAAGTTTCGCGCAAAGTTTTGGGCTCGCCGTGGAGACAACTTCCGTTTGGAAGGAGCAGGAGCACTCGCCTTGGGGCTATGTCGGTCGCATATGGCGTATGCCGTATGGCAATGGCCATATCCTGGCCATGTACTGACTATATCCTGGCCATGCTCCCTTACAAATGACGCATTAATGAAGTGATTTCGCCTTCGTCCTGGGGATTGAATTTTTAGATTTTCTTTTGCCAGCCCACTCCAGCGCTCATTAACTTCCGTTTGAGGGCACCCACTAAACCAACTCCACACTCCACACTCCAACACCAACATCAACCCCAACACTGCCTAAACCTGGGAGCTGTTTGTTGCCTTATGCAAATGCTATTCTTGTTTTTATTTCCCGCGCTGCTGCTGCTACTGCTGTTGCTGCCGTTTTTGTTGTTTTTGGTTTTATAGAAAAACACGCAAAGTAAACAAACTTGGCCCTCCGCGCTCCTTGTACTCGTGCGTCTTATACGACCAGAGTTTGCCAGCTTCCCGGCTTGTTTGTACATATTTTAATTACGCGTTTCTGATTGGAGTAACATTTGACTGAGGCAAGCCCGGAAAGCGTGGAAAGCGTGGAACGCGTGCAAGGCGTTGACAATTGTGCCCAGCTGTCGTCGGTCGTCTGAAGCCCGCAATTTTGGTTGTTCCAAGTGGTTGCCCAAAATTGATATTTGGATTGTGCTGAACGGGCGCCTAAAAGGGAGTACTCTTATATATATGCTTTATTATTATTCTCAAAATGTGTTTGTTTTGGGTGCATAGTTTTAATTTTTTTTCAAATGGTTATTTGTTCTTTTGTACCCACTTTAAAAACAAGCATAATGGAAGATATATAACTACAATGCGTACCCTTTACGCCCATTTTTCACCACGCAGGGGTGGTTTTTCCTCAGAGTGTGAAACATGACTCGAATGAATTCTCATAATGATCTTTGAAAATTAGATCAAAGCGGGTCGGATGCCAAATAAAAAATTCCATAAAACAGTTTTTCGCCAATTTTTCACAGTTAACAGCGTTTTTACACGTTTTCACTTAGGGTGGATTCTCCGGAAAGTGTGAAATTATGTTTCATTAAGATCTTTAAAAAGTTTGTTGAAACCGATTTCCACTCATTTATCACAGCTGTGGGTGGAATTTCACTCACATCACATGAGAAAATACGGACAAAAATTTTCATCTACATTTTTTTTATCGAACTGTATTCTGGCATGCGATGTGTAAGTGCAGAATATTACGGCACTTGAGCACACTTGTTGCCAAGAAATTAGCATTGATTAGGGACAAGTATGTAACATATTATGGTTGAAGGCAATAAACAACATACTAAATAAATTTCTTGGCGCAGAGCTCCATAAAAACAGAAAAGTGGCCACCCAATAAGCAAAACTGTCGACGTATTCATGCGAGCTTGAAATTCCAAAGAGCAAACAAATCTGAGTTGGCTTTTGCACAGTGTGCTACAGTTTTGTACTGAAATTCATATTTTTTTTGGCAGCTGCAGCAGCAAAATGGAAATCAACATTGGCAACATGTTGACTTGACAGACGGAGAGTGAAATTTCCAAGCAATTGACACCCTTTTTCAATCTGCCACTTCAAGCTGAAGTCAACCCTCGACGGCCTCATGGCTTATGAGGGCAATTTCAATAAATTTGAGGCCGCCCACACCGCCCTCTAGAATAGCTGTATACATATACGAATTTTTGCATAACTCGAAATCAGATTATATATTTTTATATTCATTTTTTTTTATTTCGCCAATGTGAGTGATGGGTTAGCTTGGGTTAGGGTGGTTTTTATGGGCTCGCGCGAAAGACTGACTTTTGCAATCAATAAATCGATGTGAAAAGTCATTAACATAAATTACAGCAACAGACAATTAACAATCGACCTCCAATCATCATCAACAATTGGCATAATCCACTCAATGCCCGCGAACTGGCTGCGAAAATTGCCTCGTTTTAAATTGTAAATAAATTTTGATGGCATTAAATATTATAAAGCGCATACATAAGCCAGGAACGTGCACTGTAATGGCATCAGTCCTGTTAATTGTGCGCTTAATTAAATTTTCATGCAGGTGTAATAAATGATTTTCACCCCTGATGTCTAATTAGATTTCCGTTTTTATGAGCTCGTGTCGCTCCCGTCGCATTGTCATTGACCGTTGACTGACATTGTCCTCCATTGTGTCAAATGCCTAAGGCCGTAATTATGTCCGCGCAACTGAACAATTGAAAAGACTGAATAACTGAAAAGCGAGTGACGGAGACCCGTAGACTTTAATATGGGAACACGCCCAGATTTTAAATACATATTTTCGATTCATTTGTAGACTGAACCTTTTAATTTAGATGTTTGAATACTGGGGACTGTAGTACTAGTCCCACTGGTACAACTTTCCCGGAGTGGGAATTTTATTGTTTCGTTTTTGCCGCCCATTCTTGCTGTCTTTGTCAGACTTAGTTTCTGGTTTCTTAGGCTGACTTGGCGGAGCACCCTTGGCAGGTCCCGCTGGCCCCGCTGGCCCTGCTGGTCCCGGTTGGCTCGCTGGCTTTGGAGCAGGTCTTGGAGTCGATCCAGCCTGAGGAGCATTCTTTGCAGCTTCTGCTTCTTTGGCTGCCGCTTCGGCAGCTGCCGCTTCTTTGGCTGCCGCTTCGGCGGCTGCAATAGCTGCCAGTTCCTGTTTCTTCTGCTCAACTAAATCAATGGGCGGCCTCATCTGACGGTGTGCATTCCTTAGATAGTACTGGTTTCCAAATAGTCGAGTTGGAGCTCCTTCCGGAATGTCAGGGTTGCCCTGGCTACGAGGGCTAACGGTGTCCGCGTAGCGATTGTTAGAAACATGTTTGCGGCCCAAAAGAAAGTCGCGTACGAGTTTTAAAAATGGCGAAATTTCACGGTGATTAGGCATTTCCAAATAAAAGATAACGTTTCACGTAAATATATAAATATATAAAATGTTTTACAAATATGTGTGGACTATGACTAAAAGATTTTCAGTAATAAAAAAAATTATGGTTTGTTGAATTTTTGTTTATTGTAACTACAGAACCTCAAAAATGATAAAGCCACAAACGGATTGCCTACTATATCCCGTTAATACCCTTATCGCCTACTAATGCTGTTCCATTTGTAGCGCATATTTTGTGCTTAAACTTGACGAACCATCCTGCCCTAGTCTTCCAGTAATGTCAATTCAATAAGCAGCAATCGCATTTGACTGTCAATCAATTGCGCAACAAATCTGGCGAACCGCGTCAATGAATTTTAATAATGCCACAGAAAAAAACAAAGAAACAAAAGGCACGCAACGGAAATCCAAGGGGAAATGAAGATTGGTGAATGCGAACTTGACTAAATGAAATTTTCGCAGTTTTGCGAGACAAGGCGCAAATGTCCAATTGGAATTAATAAAAACACTTCAATTTCCGATGCCAATCAGTGAATGCAAAATGAAGACCCCACGACAAGGGCGCTTCTGACGTTTCTGACAGCCGCACGCGCCAAGCTTTACTGTACTTTGTTTTCCACGTTTGGTCGTTGACGCCCTCGCATCGCCTAAGCTGTCACTTTGACAGCCCCATGGCCGGAAGTCTGCAAGCCGAACGTGTGAGATGTTTATCAGCTGCGCGAGATCCTTGGAACTCTGCTCACATTTCATCAGATAAGCAGCTTGTCGAGATTTACGAAATCGAGCTGATTATGTCTTTCTGATTGGCACAGACCGGGGCCTGGTCGCGTGTTAAAGGGTGGCCCAGCCCGATACAGCCTGTTTACCTTTTGGATTTTCAATAGCCTGGAGCTGTCGGACGATACATGGCCACGTGGGCGGGGGTTGTTTTTCTGAGCGCTTAGCTCTTGTACTACAAGCGGTACTGGCTATGGGAAATACATAAATCAGCTTGACTCCTCTCTATATTCGATTCTAATTTACGGCGCACGTTGCGCTGAAATCATTTGCGATAAGCCAGCGAATGTAAATATCAGGTTAACAACATTAACATTTCGAGAGCTGCACCAAACGAAAACTGATTTTCATGAGAACAAAACGGGGTTTGAAAGTGCTCAAATCTTGAGTGTGCCTAGGCGAAGGATTGGGCCATTATGAGATACTGATCAAGTATAGTTCTTATGGGAACTGTAAATATATAAAATGGTGCATTGCATGCTAGAGCTCGTAATTCTCAAGTTTGAGCTAGTTGTTCTTACAAGAAGTTTACCTAGAACTGCCCACTTCTAAAACCAAATACGTACACAACTATTTACATGCGTGTACACATATCGAGCTGCATAACTTAGTTGAAGTAATTTAAATACTTAGGCAAAATTAATTTTGCTTGCATTTCTCTTTCTTAAATGAGCCCACACATTTTTCAAAGCGCATCATGTTGCAGCATTGAAGTTAATGTGAATAAAGACGCAATGCTATAAATTAATAAGTATATTTTTTTTTAACAAACCAAATCGCTGAAATCCCCGGAGGGTTGTTCGGAGCGCTGAAAACTGAACTGAGTTTTCTGTATATTGTTTCTGTATTTTATGAAAAATGGCACGCACGACCGGGAAAACCTTAGAGATGACATTCGATGCGCCGCTGTCGTATCCTTAGGAAGGGGTGTGTGGCTTACAGGGTGGTGGTGTTGGTGGCACACATGCGGTTGACGTGTTCTCGAGTTCTGATTTAACTAATTGACACATGTAGCCAAGCATCTGTCTGAAATCAATTCGGGAATTCGGTAATTCGATCCACGATTGGGCAGCAGAACAAACTGTGCCTTCAACATGAGGGCAGAGAAACAGCCATGAAAAGTTCAAGCCAAGCTTTCCGCTGTGTGCTGAGCGTAATTCGATATGTAAACAGTGTCGAAAGGTTGCTTCAAATTTAAAGAAGCAAAGATACTTTGCGAAAAGTAAAAGTAGCGAAGGTCAACATCATCAAAATGTCTGGCTAAACTTGCGGGCAGGACAAACACACATGCCGCATGCCACACGCCCCCGAGCAGGCCGAGGAGTTCCTGCCCGCTGCTGGTGGCCGAAGGCCAAAGAAGCTGCGTCGAAAGAAGCTTGTAGTGAAAATGATAATGTTAAAGTTTACAACTTAAGTCGTCAAAGTCAAACACACTCTAGGGAAATTACAAACACATTCGTGACAAGGATGTGAGGTCGCCCCTGGTCTGGCTCTGCCGTCGGCACTGGCTTCCAGCTGCATGGGGAGGTCAAGAGCTGAGGGTGGCGCCTCGAACGAACTTTTCTGTTATGTGATGAAATGGACTCGCACTAAGTTTACCTGTTCAAATCTTAAGCTCACAATCCGATGTTGAGTTTGTTGTTCTTGCAGTTACTGCCTTTGCGCGCTCTTATGCTTTTACAGCGCTTCGGGGTGGTATTAGTGTAAAGCTCGCCCAGACGCCACTTTTGGTGGCTCAACTTTGAGATACAACAGCACGGCGGCCCCGCTTGTTCTGCTCGGCCATTAGCATAAATAAACGCTCTAAGTACGCCCCATAAAGGTGTAAATGCTTGATATTATTAGCCATGCCGCCAGCCGAGAGAGTCTGGGCGTTGGTCGAGAGTCTGACAAAACCGCCAACGGCCTCAGACGGGGGACTTTTGCTAGCGCTAAAATTTTATGCTGCTCCAACACATAAAATTTGCTCTCAAGTATTTCATAAAATTTTGTTACGCATCAAAATGAGTTGCATGCCGGGATGGACTTGACTTTTGTTGTCTCATCAAATGAAATTTTATTAAATGACCCCCCCAAGTTTTATCTGTGAAATTAGCAGAGCGTGTTGGTGTCTTTAACTCAACTGACGATAATGAAGCTATCCCATCTGGCTGACTTCGCAAATAGGTCAGCTTTAAGCACAAATACATACATAAAGACAATCAAAAGAGTATAGATTCCATGAGGACAACGCTTCCATCCAACGTTATATTTACACATAATCCTGTGACATAAAATAAATGCCCAATTTGTTGCCTCTAGCTTCTGTTTTCCCCATGATCGACGCGTTAATGCTGTAACATACAGTCGCACAATTGTGATATTCCCTATTTTCTTTCAACCGATTTTCAATAGGTAAGGAGTATTAATAATAGCCTCATTAAAATGCGCAAACGTTCTGTTTATGCACCGAAATTGCGTTTGAGTTTCTCTCCATTCAAGTGGCGCTCTATTCAGTTCGCTGCTAAATGCGCAGCCTTTATTCATTTCATGGCCACGTTTATTGTTTTTCAAGTCATTTTCGGCATCTTATCAATTTTACTCACAAAGGCAGCAGCTGGCTGCCACATCTCCTGCTCCTGCTCCTGCTCCAGATCCTGGTCCTCCTCCGCCTCCTTTTGCTGCTGCTGCTGGTCGTGGCAATAAAAGAGTAACCATTGTTTCCGTTCGGCTGTCATTGATAATGGAGACACCAGGAACATTGTCTTTGGGGAACGCCTCCCAGTTGATGGTGGAATACTTGAACTGGCTTCCGTGAAACGTGACTCTCTTATCAATGCGACTTACTTATTTTGAAGACGCAGCCGCCGTCGTTCCCCGGCCAGCTGCCCGTTCCAGGCGCTATCGCAGCGGCAATTAAAATTTGTAGCTATTGGTAAATGGAGACTACAATGGGGAGTTCCAATTCGATTTCGATTGCGCATCGTTTGCAAATCATTTCGCAATTGCCCAGAATTGGA